TAAACACCGGTAAGGGTCCGAAAGCTCAGAATAAAATACAAATCGTTCCGATGTTCGATCATCTGTCTTCTTTACCGATGCAAATATCTGGAACGCGAACGTTCTCTTTCATTCGTGATTACTAAAATGCCCGAAGCTGGGACTTCACGATATTTGTCTCGCTTGTGCACTTATCTGTATATTTGTATAATATTTTTTTATGGTAGCAGAGCATATATATATAGTAGTGTCATCCGGTCTTCTTACCTCGCCTGGGTTATTTTTTTGAGCTCCTTTTAAACGAGCTCTCAAAAATTGCAAATCTTACGGTTTTAATTCAGTCTATGGCGACTTAATTTGACGTTCACCACCTTATCTTTTTTATTGATCATTGTTTTTTCACGTTTCCTGCCTTAGTGGAAAAACCCGCTCCTACCATAGGGTGTGTCCCACATGTGCACACCCCTACTGTTTTTGTTTGTTTGTTTCTTTCCATGAAAGGCGTGTAAAAGTCGGACACTTCGCTGTCAATCTTTTTCAAACATTCGACTTACCCCCTTCGCTCTGCTGCTTGATCACTCCTTCTGATCCGGCGCGACGTCAGTCGTATTTTCTGCATTGAACATCAACGTGACGTGAATCGCTTCCGCCATCTCTGTTCCGATTTTTTGTACGTCCGGGGGCCGGAGTACAAAACAACGTCGTCTGTTGCCATCTTGCTTTTTTATCTTGATTTCCAGGCACGTCTGACACTGGGTTCAGACGCAAAAAGCCGCCGAAGAACGCTCTATCATCCACACCCTTGGTTAGCAGAGAGAATCCACCTCTCCAAGATTCGCTTCGTATTGGAGGACATGCGTACAAAGCGGGACTAAAATATGAAGTTAACAAAAACGGTTCTCTAGTGATAAGTTGCGCTACCAAGGCTTGAATGACCAATCGATAGGATAACTATATATTTTCAACAATTTTTTCGGAATGTTGGCCTAGGTTCCTTAGTCTGGCCATGTCTGGAGAAAATCACCTGTGGAAAACTCAGCTGACCCGCTTAAAGCTCCGGCAGATATGGTGTGGCGATCACCCCCTCGCAACAAGCGAACCGTGTACTACTTGCCTGAGAAGCAGTCAATGAACGGATGGCTTACGTGCGACTAAAGGGTCACTTTACAAACAGCACCGTCGCCTCCGTGTACGTACGAACTTCCGCTGCCGAACAGCGCGATAAAGAGACCTTTTACTCGAAGCTGCAAGCATTAGTTGAAAGGTTCTCTCGCCATGATCTGCTGATTGTTTTCCCGGGGACTGAAATGGCCAGATTGGAACTGGTGACTCTACAAACAGCCCTCTTATTGGCCATTTTGAACTTCTTCCTCAATGTAGCAATGGTGAAGAGTTGCTAAACTTTGCTGGTCAGAACATGCTGTTTGCTACAAAGACGGGCTTCCACCACCAAAACAATCCTCTGCAGCAGCAAGCTGAAGCAACGCGGTGACTCCAGTGAGAGCAGACTTGCGAAGAATCTATCGCACTCTCTCAGCACTCCCACACAAGAACTCAATGCCAAGAAAAAAGTGGAGAAGACCGGAGACAGGGGATGGCGAAGATGGTGTGCGCGAACCACACTCCAACATGCGCCACAACAACACTATCTTACTAGCTAGGCTTCCGCCTGGGAGCGCCATAAAAGCCACATTAAGAGGAAGCCATTGAGCCTGACTCCCAGCCCGTAGTAAGCCATTCCAAAGTACACTGGGGCGACTGCGGTGTCCAAGTTCTCTCATCAGTTGGCAACCTTCCAGGCCACGACTTTTACCGCATGGTCATATGGTTAGTAAGACTGATTCAATTTTAGTCAGTTTAAGGTCCCCCAGTATGGTCTATGAACGCAGATCGCTGCTTGGTGCCGATACGAGCAATGCAAACGTTCTCGTTCCTACACACTTGAAAGCTCACTGTTCATCCGCGGACAAAATACCAAACGCTAGACGCCTTAATGTCGCCAACATTCGATTATCCAGCACTGCAGAGGTCCTGCGCAGAGAAGTTTTGTCCTGTCTTACGACCGGAGCCGATAGAGAAGGCAGCAGCAAATGGTCATCACTGGGAAAACTCTTGGATACACCCAGCGACGCCGCAGAAACTGGATCAGCTGAAGAACCCTGCAGCTGCCTGCTCAAACAACTCAAATCATTTGCCGTAATGATAATTATTTCCGCCAATTCAGAATGATGACAGCAAAAATCGACTAGAGAGAACTGGAAGGAATACTGGGGTGAAATAGCGAATTCCATTGCACAGGCCCCAGACGTTGGTAACACTCGAAAATTCTACCAAATTATCCGCAAAGTTAGTGGTAAACTCTCCTCACCTACTTACTCTGTTCG